CCCCCCCCCCCCCCCCCCATTGACCTCTTCCAGCCTGCCCTCGCCCTGACCTGAAATATTAATGTTAAATTTTTGAGTCGGTGATAGAATGTGCCTAAATCATATAGCTTCAGCCAAATACTTGAGTGAAAATAACATCTTTGTGACATACTTCTGTCTGGTCTTCTAAGCAACAGGACAGTAGTCACGTTTCCTCGAAATCTGAACCCACGGGTGTCAAACTCCAAACTTTGTTGGAAAAAATCCAGCCTCTGAAGGAAGTTCAACAGGACCAGCATTTGGAGGCACCAGAAGAGCAGTCGAAAGGCCCCTCACCTCCCTGAAGAACTTGTATACCACGTGTACTGACATCCAAACTGTGCTCACTGGATGAATGTTGAACTATTTTCAACAGTTAAGCTGTGTAAATGTTTCTGGATCTCGAAGGCCTTATGTTTGCCGTCTTTTAGTTCCTGTTGCTAGGTTGTCATAAAGCTCAGTATCATGCTTTGAAAGAAGCAGTTATGTGAACTTTTATGTTAGGACGCTCTTCAATAAAGAATTCCTTAGCTGCTTATAATGTAAATTTACTTTAACATTGTAAATAGCACCAGGAAACCTTTATAAGCGCAGTTTGAATGGGACTCATTCTGAGCAGGTTTGCTTGGGTTTTGGTGTTAACATGTGGCTGGCGCCCTGGCTGGTACAGCGCCATTGGGCATCATTCTGCACATGGAAAGCTTGGCAGTGTGATTCCCGATCAGGGCTCGATCCCCGGGATCCTAGGGGGTGTGCAGAAGGCAGCCGTTCCATGTGTTGCTCTCACATCGATGTTTCTCTCCCTCTCCCTTCCTCTCTCACAAAAAATTAATAAAAAAATCTTTAAAAAAACATGTGGGCTGGCTGTTTCTTATTCTCTGGTATGTTTCTCTTCTCTGGACCCATCAGACTTTTACTTATACATATAATGTGGCTCCTTGGTCAGTTGTTTCTATGTGCAGGTACTCTTTGTACTTGCTGCTTATGGAACTATTGACCTTCAACTTGAGAGGCCAACCTGACTTATGCTTTTCGGTAAGAGTGAGAACCGATCAGTGAAAATAGCCAAAGGCCAAAACTATAACTTTAATCTCATGGATTGGCTCTGCTGGAGACAATTAGCACAGGCCTACACATAGTAGGCTTTGTTGAATGAGTGAATAATTACATCCAGCTCAAGACTGAATCCAGATGCATCTCTTGGATTGCCAAGAGGGAGCCAGCCAATTCAGATGATGCTCTCCACCGGCCTCCCTGGTGTCAAGGAGCCCGGCTGGTGTGCCTCGGTGGTTGAGTGTTGACCCATGAACCCGGTTGGGACACATACCTGGGTTTTGGGCTCAATCCCTGGTGGGGGGCGTGCAGGAGGCAGCTGATCGATGATTTTCTCAGATCATTGATTTTTTTATCTTCCTCTGAAAAAATAAAGAATAGTAAGTGGCATATTGCTCTGAGATTGTCCCCTTTGCATTTGTGATGAAGCTGAGTAGGAAAAGTGGTTTTCAGCTACTGGTAATAAACTGCTTCAGAAATTTCTTATTTTAAAACCTGTTTAGATTTTCTACCCTGTGTTCTTTGTGTACAGTCACTTCTGTCTCCTAGTAGACGAAGGGTGGGGCACACATCTCAGCCTGTACCCCTCCTGGCACATGGTGCTCAGATAATGGAAGGTGAGTGACTACGTTAGGCAAAAGCACTTCTCAGCCATATGCTTCCCCCACTGCCCCTTCCCCAACCTTTATCTCTGCAATTCTTGCTTTGGGAATGCTTGTTTTAGGTGGGGCAGCACATTTCACCCATTCGACAGCAGGCAACCATTGGTTTCAATGCCAGGCCAGACCTTGGGAGGAGGACTTAGCAGGTGGAGGAGATGGTTCTGTTCAGAGGAACAGTCAGGGGTCACTCATTACTTCTCTAAACTTGATGTTTCTGGGGCCTAATGGGCAGTTTCTTATTTTTTAAATTAACCAATACCATTTGTAACAATATCAATAGGAAATATATAAGAATAAATCTGAGAAATGTACAGTGAAAAGTACAAAACATTAAAAGACAATTAAAAAACAATAAAGGGCAGTTTCTCCATAATGTTGAAGTTTTAAAAAGCTATTTGTTGCATAATTCTTCAAAAATTATACATGTAATGGTTCAAAATTTAAAGGCGACAGCCTGTCCCCCAGCCACCCATTTTTTTCTTCCCTAAGGCCACTGCTATCACCATTTCCTTTTCAGAAATATTTTGGGCATACACACGGGGACACTATGCATACTGTCCTATACCTTGCTTTTCCACTTAATTTGTCTCAGAGATCCTTTGTGTGGACCAATCAGAGCCCAGTTGACAAAAGCGTTGTTTTTATATTTTCTTGTGCTGCAAATAGGCTGGTATAGCTGTGGGGTGCATTCTTAGTGGTATTGCTGGGTCAAGAGATAGCTCATCTTCAATTTTGTTATTACCCTCCATGGAAACTGTTCACTTAGCCTCCCACCAGCCGTGAATGAAAATGCCCACTCACCAGGATCTTGTTAAGCCAGACGGACTCACGAGGAAGGCCTGGGCCTGGTAGAAGGGGAGAGACCAACCCTTACTAGTAGAGCAAACCTTCTTTTGTTGAATCCCAGTGACCGAAGCCCAGTGAACGGTGTGAAGTCACTTGGGGAATTCAGAACTCTTCCTACTGTTGGTCCCGGACTCTTGTTTGGAGGTGGAACCTCATTCTTGCCTTTAAGGAGCTTAACGTCTAACTGGGAGGACCAGCGTGACTTTCAAAATAATAAGATGAACAGGAATCCTTATAATCATGAGAGTATGGTGGAGAGTCAGGAGGAGAGATCGGCCATGGACTAGTCTGGGGACACTGCACGGAGAGCCTTGAAGGGGAGGCGAAATTTGGGGGTTTGAAGTGGCGTGTGTGGCTACTGCTGCCAGGAGCAACCCCCTGCCACCACTGTGCCTTCACTGTCCTTTTCAAATGGTATCTCCGCTCAGAAGTTTTACCTAATGTTCACATCACGTCTCGAGCCCCTTCCAGACTGCAGCCGGCACACCTGGCCCACTGTTTGGACTCCTGCCCGATTTACCTGGTCTTCGTTCCAGAGATGTAGCTACTCTCTCCCACGTCAGTGTCAACAAGGGCAGAAGTTCTTACCCACTGAGCCCACTGAGGCATGGCACAGCCTTTCAGGAGTAGGCCCTCCACGCGGGTTTGCTGAGCTGAAGGGCATGTGTCCTGGTTACAGTGAAATTTGCACAAGACGAGGCTGAAGATCTGGGTTCTAGTTCTGGCTACTCCATTTTTACTGGTTTGGCCTCGTGCCTGTCACAGTCTCTTGGGCTTCTAGTTAGTATCGTGAGAATTAATGGGTATAATGAATGCAAAGCCCACTTGTAAGATATGTGACAGGTGCTTTTTTGACGCTTGAGGAGGAGTGGAAAGCAGGTTTGTCCGGGTAGGATGGGATCTGATCATGGTGGCCTCAGAAACTCTACAGAGGAATTCAGCTGGGTATAAGAAAGTTTGAACAAGGAAGTACTGTCGTGAAAACTGTCAGATCAAAGGAAGATCTGCCCAGATGTGATATAAAGAATGTGGTTGGGGGAGTGGGCAACGAAGGTGGGAAGAAGAGAGTTTGTTCTCTGAGCAGCCATTCCAGTGGGAGACAGAGATTCCAAGGTTGTAAGCCTGAGTGACCAGCATCACTAACAAACAGGTGGGGAAGAGCTCCAGTACTTCACATACTGCGTTAGAGGTGACAGAGCAACGTTCCAGTGGCAGACAGTGAGATGGGTCAGGTGTTGGGAGAAGGGGAGGAAGCATTGGAGCCAGGAGAATGAATGAGCTGTCCAAGGGGAGTATAGAGAGACACAGATGTTGGGGCTGAGCCAGGTGAATGCTCTCAGTTAAAGGGCAGGAGGAATGAGAAAGCCAGCAAAGGGAACAGGTCCCACATCTTCCATCGTCTAAATGGCCAGGCCCATGTAAGTGGCCCTGGATTCTCCAGGTTTTAGAGAGTTCTCTTTTTGCTTTTGCTGGATAGACCTGACCCTTGATTTGTGTGTCCTTAAAAGGCAAGCCCAATTCTTTTTGTAATTTTGTATAATACTTAGTGTTCTCAGATAATGAAAATGTTATTACAGAAAAAAGATCGGTGCCTCCTAGGGATTCCTAATTTTGTTAAAATGATACCTTTCTCTAAGTAAATGATGGCTCACTACTTAAAAACATTCACTGGATTCTTTTTTTAAACAAAGTCATCCCAGTGGGATGACAAGATTTTCTCAGAGGCTCGCACGGGTGCCTGCCTCTGCTCTTGGGAATCCGGACGAGGCACACAGGAGTGCAAGGCCTCATCGTCCTTCCCAGCTCTCAGCTTTGACCATGCCTGACTCAGAACTGGGCTGGCAGTTCTCCTGCCTGCATAGGAGCTAAGGGTATGCGACATGACGTGGCTGCGATAGTTAACACAAGCTGGCCTCAGCTAGAGGACTGTAGAGCTAGGAACAAGAGAAGGTGAGTCATGTAAAGGGGTAGGGTTATTACTTTGTTCCTGGTCTCTGTGCTCCTGAACTCTATTCCAGAAGAGCCAAAAGGTGGAGGACCGACCAGCTAGTTTAGCTGTGTGTTTTGAGTCTTTGAGGGTGCTCAGCGAGATGGATGCTTGAGCAGGTTCAGTGAGCAACTTGGTTGAGGTCACCTTGGCTGATGGAGGAAGGGCACCTGCTCTCCTGTGGAAAAGACAAGAAATGGCTTTCATGTCACTGCTAGGGTAGCGCTCAGTGTGGCAGGCGGGTCTCTGATTGGATGAGCCCAGCCCTGGAGCAGCATCTGTGGAGATGCTGAGCCAGACAAGTGGTTATTGCTGCAGCACGAAGATGAAAAGGTTGCTAGGGGAAGGCAAAGGAGGCAGGAAGTTAAGTGTTATGTCCCCTACAAAATGTAGCAGCCACTGCCCCCTCCATCTGTGCAGATTACAGAGAGGGGATTCTTGTCGAATGCTAGCTGACAATGCAATCACATTTTGGGTCTAGTTTTACCCTCGATGGATGCTTTTACTGGACTGGGACTTAAATGTCAGTCACCTGACCTTCTAGTGGCTCAGTTCTTTTAATTAAAAGATGCTTCTAAGCACCATCCAGTAGTGGGCTCTTTATTATTTATCAAGCATTTTCCTCCCAGCAGTTAGTGAAAGGTCAGTGGCTTCAAGGGATGCTTTGTTTTTGGTGAGCAGCTCAGATGAAAAAGATAGACAATCAATTCCCGCTCCCTCCTGTTTGCTCTGGGGCAGGACACTGTGTAACAGTCGTTGTGGCATTTAGGATCGCAGGCTTCTGAAACATGCAGAAAAGTGCATGGGCATCCCTTGCTACTGAACATTTCTCCAAAAGTAAACACCAGGTCGTGATGATGGTTAATAATGAGGTATTGATTGTTTGAAAATGTCAGGGCCTGGGCCGTGGGCCCCAGCACCACTAGATGGCGCTGCACTATCACGCTGTTCAACCACAATAATTTTATTTCTTTGCCTCGGGGTACCT